CTTGTAATAAGGTAATCACTTATGGAGTTCTAAACTTCATAAGGTGAGTACCAAAGGTATGTAAATATAGTAAGCCAGCATGTATCATTTCAGTCTTATGAATATAAAGATGAAGTTTATTATGGTTTAACAAAGTTTCTTCCGACATTCGTAAAGAGGTCCTTCCGTATGAACGACTTGGTTCTTCGCAGAGTCTTCTTATCCTCGAAATTTGGGATCCACTGACAACTTGTTAACACATTAAATTGGACACGATAATGGACAAATTCTGTCACTCAATCATTTTTTATTAATAATATTTGAAATAGTATATTGACATTCTTTATTAAGATTAAAGAGTTTAGTTAAATTTAAATTTGCATTGTAGAAAATAAATAAAGTTTACAAGTAATAATTCTTTCGTTGGTTAAAATTGAAATAATTAAGTTATAGTGGGAGTTAACATTTTTATTTAAAAGTAAAAAAAAAAAAATCCGACTCTTTAAAGTTACTTAAAAATAATTTAAATTTTTTTTTTTTCCTAAGCTTAGCCGAACATGCTCTAATCAGTTGAAAAAAAATATAACCATTAGTCATCAATCTGAATGGCTTTGATGACTATAAACTGAGACAGAAAGTTGATATACAACTTTGTCCATTCTTTTTAATGTTTCTGTATTATGTTTTATTATTTTACTATTTTCACCAATAATATTCGATTCATTTTGAATTCTCCAACTGCCGGTAATTAAAATGGATTTAGCCTCCTGTACATTATGGATACCATAAAGGCATCCATAATGCACAAGTGGCCGACCCCCATTGGGGGGTCGGCTGACGCAACAGGTAGCAAGGCCCAATTAAAATATATAAATATTTCAGGACCAGCGATTCTCAAGGTTTTCCAAGGCCCATAATCACTGGACTCGAGAAGCCCGTGAAAAAGACAAGGAGAATGAGTTGAAAATCAATTTTTTAGTAATTTTTAATAAAAACTGATGAAATATATAATTAAAAAGTTGATAAAAATTGTGGATCTCATGAAATATATGATTAAACTAAATTTGAAGAAAACCAAGTTTTAAAATTTGAAAAGCTCTAATGAGCACCGGTGCTCATCTTATCCTAAACACCAATGAGTTGGCACATTAATTCATTGGTGAATAAAGATTTTGTGAGTTTCAATCCACCAATGAATTAATGTGCCAACTCATTGGTGCTTAGAATAAGATGAGCACCGGTGCTCATTAGATCATTTCTGTAATATATATATATCCTTTAGATTTGAAGTCTAGATCAGTAGCCATATATAAAGGGGGCTGTTGGCTTTTTAACTAGCGACTCTCATAAGATCCCCATGACAACTCTCATGAGATTAAAATCAAATTTTAATTTGTACCAAACAGAGGTTTAATCTTTTAGAACTTAGGCTTAGACCCATTTGGCTAAGCTTCTGTTTTTGTTTCTATTTTTGGTAGAAGAACTCTATGAAGTAGCTACTTTAGGCTAGCTTTCGATTTAAAAGCTCTTATAAAGCACGTTTAAAAAAATATCCACATAGTTTAAAAAACCGTTTCTTAATCTCAAAAGTAACATTTCTTTTTCAAAAGTATTGTCAAATAGACTTTATTATCTCCCACTCATTGAACCACATAATTTAAAAACTTACACTATTATAGAAAATATATATATGTTAAGTATTATAGAGAATATATGTACATGCATACCTAATATATCTACATTTTCTTTTATTAAGAGCTCGACATGTGTGTATGTAATTTTCTCAAATAAGTGACCGTGAGACATGAACCCATAATATTTATTATAAACTTTTAAATGATTGTATTTCGACACCACCACCACCATGTCTTCCTCTCGAGTATGGAAGATTACGACGTTTTGAGTGAAATGATTGAACATAATTAATAAAAGAACAATGCTATAAGTACAAATAAATTTCGGCACAGAGGAATTTGAAATGGATGGAATGGATTCAAACATTCAGGAGGGAAAAAAACAGATATACGGACAGGATTTTCCAATTCAAATTTCTGTAGGAAATCTGGCAATATTTTCTGTACTTGGAGAATTATTCTTAATAAAATTCTCTTCTTTGCATAATTATCTCGTTTGTCCTACGTACAAAACAAATCCCCAAAAGCCTCTTTGCCAACTATATGACAATATTGATCTTATTATTTCATAAGCACAAACCCCAAATACATAATTACATTGGCGCCGCCTACATTAATACATATTTTCGTTTCAAATTACAATGAAACGGCTAATCAATTAAAAATGGTTCAATGAAATTGATTATTATATTTATTTCTAAAAATGGTCCCAATTCCAGCACATATTTGTAGAAAACACCCGGGCAAAGGCAGCTGCCAAAATGCAATTTTTTTCTTGAGTTTAGTTCATTATGAACTACAACAAGACATGGTCTAGTGAATGCAGCAACCCCAATGTGACCTTTCGTCTGCCCTATGTACTGTAGTCTGTAAGCAAGTTACTCCACCCAGATTTCTATCTTAGGTAGTTGTAGTTCCCGTAGGCTTGCTTTAGATACAGGTACGCTTTCTAACTAACTTCACCTGGGAACTTTAAACTTCTTCACTAAAATCTTGTTTCAGTAAACCTGTTATACTATATTATATAAAAAACTTTCTCAGAAAACCTCATAAACAATCGGTGGTACGTGTAATAAAATCTGACTAATAAAAAAGAAGAATCTTAAGTTATTAAAGATTAGAAACTCCTACCTTATAAGGGTATTTAGAAGTCTATTTCAATTTAAACTTGTGGAAAAGTACGTATATAATCGTTCTTTGATGTTTTTTAATTAGTTAAAGAGTAAAAAGAATACTCAAAAGATCATAACTGGATCAAGTTACCGAATGACCATACGGTATTTTTTAGAGTCCTCTTGATATAAGTCTCCACAAACTACCTCTAATTTTAAAAATTTTTTATAGATTGTGATAGAAATTTTTGAAATGTGTGGTTAAAAAGTTGTGGGACCCATGAAAAACGTGGTTAATATTGATTGTTTGACTTTGATTTAGATTGAAATTAGATTTTAATCCGGACCAAACAGGGCTCAATTTACTTCGAAAGATAATTTATAGTTTATACCATTCTCACATGCTTGATAACTTGAACTAAATGCTATTGGATAATAAGGAAGAAGAAAAAAACAAAGTTAAAATCTTATCATATGACTTGAGAAGATTATCTAAAACTGGGTCAATCACGTTCGTAACCAACGTAACTCATAGTTGGGTTGTACCTTCCTTAGGTGTAAACTTTGATGTCGTTGCTGGATGTTTAATTAATCAGCCATATTTTGGCACGACGAGAAGAAATTTAATATGGTCCCTGCAGTGAAATTTGCAGAACTAATCATGTTTTGACCCGGAAACATAGGCAGACTGCTGGGCCGTACTATTTACTCCTATATATTCCTGAAGTGAACACGGTCTTCATGTGTATGTTTTTCAGCATTTAAGGCCTTCCCATGAAAATTATTCTTCCTCCATCCCAATTATATAGGTTGAGTTTTCTTTTTCTCTTATCTCAAATATATTAGCATGTTTTCTAACGTAAAATATTTTGTTGTATTCCTTCACCAATATACCCTTATTAAATTTTCCCTACTTAATATGTCAAGTTCTTGAAATTATCCAAATACGCACATTTTTCATTTCTTGGAAACATCGAACAACTCTCATTTCTTATTTTTCTTCTTCTTTATTCGTTCCAACAATGATTTAGTTTTACATACTGAAAATTAAATTGGAGTAAACTAGGAAAGATCTTGGTAAAAATTAATTTTTCAATGACATTAAAGAAACTTTCTTAATCCGTGTGAAAAACGAAACAAGCCTATATAATTGGGACGGAAGGAATACCATCAGTTGTGAACTGTGTTTATTGGACTGGTTAAGTGCATGTTTGAATAGCTTAAAAAGCTTATTCAAGAAAGTTTACAAATTAAAATTATAAATAAATCCTTTGGTGGTCAAAGTTGAAACCAAAAAAAAAGCTACGTATATGAAAGTAACTTATTCTAATTATAATGTTAGAAAAGTAAGCAAAATGGTAATCAACTATACGTTGGACTTACTTCTAAGCTTAGTCAACATGCTCCAAGTAAATAATGGAGGCAAATGTGAAAGAGAAGAAAAAATGTTAGAAGACTTCTAGGCTGCTGTGTTTGATAATAGAGTCTCCAGATATTGATGGGATAAAAAATGGTGGAATTTCCATGCCCTGTTTACCATACAAACTTTGGTGGTCCCAAGACTTTTTATTTTTTTACGTAAAGAGACAAGAATTACAAAAGTTTAATTTGAACTTACTTGGACTCAAATTTCCTGGATTTTTGCATTTACTTTGAAATTTGAATAAGTTATGTAGAATAGTGTCTGAGGTTGATTTTGAAGTCTGTGAAAATTACAGGTTAATTGTTGCATTTTAGGCAATAATGATTTAAAAATATTATTTTCTTGAACTGTGGACAAATGACAATTGACCTGGATCACATGATATATGATATTTCATATGTACATAGCATCAAAGCTAGATGCGCATACATGTATGCATACATACTTTTGTTTGAGAGAGAGAGAGCAGTCTAGTGAGAAGAATATATATTGAAGAGAACTAGAGTTCACATGCTTGAGCTCTAGGGCGGCCTAGTTCCACTTTGTAATAACGTGTGTATAATAGAAGGTATACACTAGAAAAAGGTCGAAATCGAGCTGATAAAGATGGAGGCAAGTGATGATACTGAATATTCTAAGACAAGCCCTTTGGAGAGAAATGATGATGAGGAAGAAAGTGAAGCGAAAAACGAAGCCAGCAACCCTAGAGATGGAGGAAGCTCAAGTAACAGCACGGTCGAAGAGGGCGAGAAGAAGATAGTCGTAAGGCCTTACGTTCGATCTAAGATGGCTAGACTCCGGTGGACGCCTGAACTTCATCTGCGCTTTGTTAATGCTGTGGAAAGACTTGGAGGACAAGAGAGTGAGTTCCATATGAATTCCATCAGAAGAGTAAAATTGGTGGTGATAATTTATTTGGATTAGTTTATAGATCTAATAGATTTTATTTATTTTCTATTTTTCTTGATTAATTTGGTGCAGAAGCAACTCCAAAATTAGTGCTTCAGATGATGAATATCAAAGACTTAAACATTGCTCATGTCAAGAGTCATTTACAGGTAGGTGACATTTGAAGAATTTATAATTGAAGAAATCAAGGCATGTATGCGCCTATATAGATCAGTAAATGACCAGTGTTTTTGCCATTAATTTCTTAATTTTGTTTCCACAGATGTATAGAAGCAAGAAAATTGATGAGCCAAACGAATGTATGCTTTTTCTATTTTAATTTATCTTTATCCAACACAATTAGGGTTTTCAGTATTCGAATCTTATGCAATTCTTCTAATTACAGGGATGGCAGATCACAGGCTTTTCATGGAAGGTGCAGATCGGAATATCTACAATCTAAGCCAACTCCCTCTTCATTCTACCTTCAGGTACATATAATTTTAGAAATTCAAACAAAAATTCCTTCACCTTTTCTTTAGAATACTTGGAGCTTAGTCACTGATGAATAAATTCCAAATTGATCATTCTCAAGATTTGGAGATGCTTCTTGGAATAATTATGGAAAATGGATAAATAACTCGACTATGAGGCAGAATACAGTTAATGAGAGGATCTTGGGCTGCAGCAGCCAATATTATAGGTCAGCAAATCATGATATTTGCACCAGAATTTCTTGTTCCAATGAATTATCCACTCAGAAGACTAAAGAATTTGGATCGCTTAACGGGCATGATTCCTGGCTAGGCCAATCTAGAAGAAACTCTATCGAGCAAACAATGAATCTCCATAGGCAGACAACGGTAAAAAGGAAGGCGTCAGAGTGTGACCTCAACTTGAATTTATCGCTTGGGATAGAATTAAGGGAGGATGATCTAAGGCAGCAAGGTTCACAGTATGATGAAAACATCTTGTCATTATCATTGTACACTCCATCCTCCTCAAAGCTTAAGAAGTTGAAAGAAGATGAGGGTACTAAAATCGCAAGAGGGGCAAGTACTCTGGATCTGACTCTATGAATTAGGGTAATTCTAAGTGAGACCTTGAGGTACTTGTTTTCTGCAGAGAATGCATTTCTTCTTATTGTCTTGTACCATCAATATATATTAACAAATATTGTACTCACGTAACATGTTTGGTAAGGTCAATTGGACAATCGTTGGACAAAAATGTAGAAGAAAAAGTTACATGTTGTCCATCATATTTTCCAGTATTGAGTATCAAATATACATTATTCCTCTGTGTCTTACCAATATCTAGTTGCTTTTATTAAGACGGCCATGGTAAAATTTTACTTTATATCATTTGAATTGATGATTATGATGTTGGAATATCTAGTACTTGGATGAAATAGAATTTTCTTTAAATTTAGGCCTATCAGGAGAGGAAAATTTTTTGGACATTTTAATTGTACATTTGTACTGAACTGGACACAACTTGATTAGTTAGATCCACGTGACAAAATTTATAAGTTGTCCAATTTTATCGAATGCTTCAAATATGCACTATGGTTTTCATATTAAACATTCGTATATATCTGCTCGATTTGCATATAATCAAATGAGAGTCATGTAAAAAAGTTGTATTAAATTGATTAATGTGCACAGATACTTGCCAGTAAATGGAAGATTCAATTTCAAGTTACCAATGCCCTAGCTAGGATGCAAGTATTAGGATACTATTGTAAGTAGCATATAACACAGCGACTGGCACCAACATTGTACACTAAATGGGAATAGTGTTCTCTGCATTTATTTATTTTTTGTCAAATTATTGCATGTGAATTAGTTTGATCTTTACAAAAGCTAGGCATGGAAGTATATATGGTTAGAAAGGTTCAACAGATTTAAGTGAAGAGTTCTTGGAAAGAAACAAGAATTAAAAGTATAGGTTTTGTGCCCTTCTTATCATTTCAAGCCAACAAATTTTGTTGCAGTTTTTCCTCGATTTCAACAGTTTATTAAGCCTAAGTTTACTGATTCTTTAAAATTTTTTTTTTTTCGAATTCATTTTCAATCATACATTCTCCCAATAAAATAAATTTGCATGATGACTTATATATTTTCCTACTTTTTAACTACATATTTTAATAAATAAAAAAAATCACTTTTCACAATTTATTCTCAAAAAATCTATGTCAAACAAGCTTTAAGTCCTGGTACAAGCCGCAAGGAACCAGTGAATGAGTTCTTTTTTTATGAAATGAACAAGAGGCAAGAGCTTTATCCAGTTGACATCCCGACGCAACAGTAGCATCAATGAAACAAGGTTCTTCGCCTAGCTAACAACTATCTCGAAAGTGCAAAAGTGCAGGCTAAACTGTGAGCCACACCATTCACCTCGCGCTACATAAATTGACAACTAATGGACGTAAATGAATCTAAAGAAGAATATTAAACAAAGAGCTCTTTTGTTGTGTTTACAGTCAAATAAGGTGGATGAGAAGTATAATATGATCTAGAATATATTTACTAGGCATGGATGTCAGGGTGGATCATACGGAGGTTTCAATATTATGAACCACTCATTACATTTTAGGATTAGCCCATAAAAAGTATAGCTTGACACACACCCAATTGTTTGCTTTCCTAGGTTAGCCCAAATGTGGTTGCCCACATTTTCCTCATACACCTATGTAATTAATGAATGGAACAAAAATGGTTAAAAAATAGATTTTTGAAGAAGCCCCATTTATAAAAATGGAATCCAGCACTCCTTCCATCCCAGAAAAATTAGGCTTTTTTCCTTTTTCCAGGGCCGACCCTGAGAATTTTGAGGTCTTATGCGACAAATTATTACGAGTACTTGAAATATAATTTTTTTTTTGCAAGTGTTTCAATCACTTTAGAACCTGATAAGTGCATGAAAGTGTACTTTAAACACCAAATTACCATGTTAAAATGTCAAAAAATGAATAGAAATAAAAGGAATAATTCATGTTGTTGAAGTGTTGTTCTATTTATTTTAAAATAATTTCTAATTCGATTCATGTGTTTAATTTTAGGTTTTTATCCAAATGAAGAATGGATCTAAAAAAAAAAAAAAAAACCAGCTCTGGTCACGAAAAGGGAGAATTTTCAAAATTTTGGGCTCTTTTCTGGCCCATTCGAATTCTAATCTTCTAGGGACTTTAAAGGCACGAGAAGACAACAAAAATGACACTTTTTGAACAACAATCAAGAAGGGAAAACGAAAGGAGATGACTAACAATTCCATGGAGAACGAAACATCTTGGTGAAGTTGGAAAGGAACTCAATTGGATTCGGTGATTTCAACATTATTTAATTCATTGATTTAGATTTTCATTTTAAGTAACTTCATGGTTTAGATTTTCTTTTCATAAAAGTATTTTGAGATTGGCTAAACTTTTATTAAATTCTTCATAGATTCAATTGCGTTTTCTCTACTGAATGATTGAAAAACTCGTTTAAATTTTAATCTCATTTATCTATTTTTACTGGTGTAATTCATTACTGATTTATGCTTTAAGTATATTGTTGTTTTTTAATTTTATTCTAGTGAACAAAAGTATGAATGCTATGGTAGGAAATTAATCTTTAGAATTATAATTGAATTAAATTGATTTTAATGACGTTTCTTCTGATTAGAGAAACTAGATTGAGCATCTCTAATTGAGTTACAAGAATAAATCATTGATTTTGAATGACTCAATCCAATTGAGGGAATTCTAAAGCTTCACTACCCCAAACCTTCTTTTATTTTCATTCAAACAAATAAGTTATTGTCACACATTCAAAAGAACATTCACATTCCGAATCCTTTAAGTATTTTTTACTATTTCCATGTGGAATCAACACTCCAAAATTGTGGTACAACTACTATATTATTCTTTGGGCATAATCAGCACCAACCATGATCAATTCAAATCTGATTTTTCTATACGTTTGAAAAATAAAATGAGCCCTTTTAAAATAAATCTTACATTTCACTTTATAGGCTCTTTACATCTTGAGACCCTAGACAGCGGCCTAGGTCGCCTTTGTCCATGGCCGGTTCTACCATTTTCGTTTGTCTCAAATTATATATCACTTTCCTTATTGAAAATATAATATTTCTTCATTTTCTAATATACCCATATTTGACATGCACGATTATCAACAAGTATGAACTATCATTATTCAATGTAAGGGTATATTAGAAAAATCGTAAGTAAAATTTTATAATTTCAAATATATTAATAAAGATTTCTTGTTAAAATAGAAATAAGTCTATCTTTGTAAGACGGATGAAGTATAATACAAAGAGTTAAAAGAAAATGACTTGTTCACCTATCCACTGCTAATTTTTGTCTTATTTATAATTTAAATTATTTATAAACATTTCTCAAACATGACATGTAAAGAAAAACAGTCTGTACTAAAATTGTAGAAGGGATCAAACTTAGAGACGGTATGTGCAATTTAGCTTAAAATATAAGAGCACACTAGTACGGTTGTACCCCTTCATTTTTACACGAAGTTTCGAATCAACTTGCATTCATGTGCCTGATATAGACTTGACCTTTATTACCATTAATTCCACCCGACATCTCGTCGTAGTACACTAGACCAACAACAACTCAAACATTCGCCAAACATTTTCCACACAGACCTACCATTTATATATCTTTTTCCCAATAAATCTGTACTAGCAAATATTAAAAACTTGATTCAGACGATGGCCAATCCAGGGGCTTATGAAGAACATCTCCCCTACGTGCCTGCATGGCTAAACAAAGGGGACAATCCCGGCACATAAGGGCTGCCACTCCGATTGACCTGCAGAGTATGCCAGAATTGTTAATATTGAACGATCTCATTTAAAAGTTTAAACAGTACCTTCGAGTTGATAATTTTTCATAGTTTTTATTTTCAACAGGTAATCTTGTATACCAGCATTATAAAGAAGAAATGGGCTGTAAATTCTGCTTTCATGACGCTCTATGCTTTTGCGACTATCCTAATATGTTGGGTTCTACTTTGCTTCCGACTCACCTTTGGGAACGAGCTCTTGCCTTTCTGGGGGAGGGGCCACGTTTTTTTAGGACAAAAATACCTCATTAAGCGTGCGGCTATGAAAGGTGACTGTATGCTACAGGGCAGGAGCTTGTAACAATTTAGCTAAGAAAGATTGCTAATTAAAAGTAACCAAAGCTGAGAATTAAGGAGCAAAGAAATCGTGCTTCTGCTGTATATATTCTGATATTTATTGAATAAGATTACAATGTATATATACACAAGAATTCAACAACTTTGTACAGGTGTCAATCAAAATTTGTTATGCAATTAGCACTATAATTGAATTTGGAATCTATTCTAACTTCTTGTAACAAGTGGTAGCTCATTGTCATTCTAGCATGTTCTACAATCTTCTAGTCTTTCTTTGCTCACGGTCTGGCTGATCCTTTGCTCATGGTTACAGCCTTGATCTTCAACAGCCCCCTTCAAGATGGAGAGTAGATATTTTCTACTCCCATCTTGGATAAATGTGAATGAAAAACATCATAACACAAAGGCTTGGTGAAAATGTCAGCAATTTGTGAACCAGTTCTCACATATTTTGTAATAATGCTTCCTTCTTGTACCTTATCATGAACTAAATGGCAATCTAACTCAATATGTTTGGTCCTTTCATGGAACACGGGATTGGCCGCAATATGTAAGGCTGCTTGGTTGTCACAAAACAACTCAGCCGGTTGTGAATGTGGGACTTGCAAATCATCAAGAATGTATCCTAGCCATGTTAGTTCACAACAACCAGCCGTCATTGCCCTATATTCCGCCTCTGCTGATGATCTAGAAATAGTAATTTATTTCTTGGACTTCCAAGATATCAGTGAGGAGCCTAAGAAAACACAATACCATGTTATTGATCTCCTAGAATCTGGACATGCCCCCCAATCCGAATCTGTATGGGCTCTAAGTTGTAAGTCTGAGGATGAGGATAAGGGAAAAATAGTCTTAGGCTTGGTGCCCTTTTGATGTACCTAAGCACTTTGTGTGCAGCCTTCAGGTGTAAA